CTTGTAGGCATTTCTAGTCACACAATTAGAAGCTTTCCTTGCCAATACTGCTTCCAAGTTAATTATAAAAATATATATGTATATTCAACCAATTGAATATACAGCAACCTCCCAAATTTACTCACGCAAGTGACTAAAGTTTTGTCTGGAAAACATCAAAGTCTGTCTGCAGTCTCCAGGGACTAACTCATGTTCTACAAGACTAGTGACTACATCACAAGCACACTGTAAGCTCTATTTTTTGGGAAAAAAAAAATATATATATTTATCCCTCACTATTGACTACTACTCGTCCACCACAAAGACTGTTTGCTCTTCTAGCCCAATCAAGATACATCCTAACATGAAGGGATTCACAAAGTGAACAGAATTTAGACTTATGACAAACAAAACACACCAAAAGGAAATTATTAAATTTCATCGGTTATACAAAGCTGGAATAGAAACACCAACAAAATTGAAAAAGTTTTTTTTGTTTTGTTTTTAAATCATTTTGTGAACAATAGTTTTCATACTTAAAAAAAGCACACAGTGAAGATAGGCACTTTTAAATACTAGTTCTCATAAGGAGCCTTTGTACTTAAACATTTAATTTAACGGGAAAAAAAAGCTCCTAATTAGCTACAGTTCCTTGTCTTTCCTTTTAAAGGGAGCTGTCTCCGTGGAGGAGAGTGATACTGTCCTGTGACAAACAAAGCCATATTCCAGCACTGTAGCAACAGACAGACTCATTATTATCAGTTCCTAATGGGTTACTGAATTCATCTGTATGCAAACCCAAGAAAATGTGGAGCCAAGTCAATTTAAACAGTAACTAGAACACATATAATGGAAAGAAATATTCCCCCTACATTTTTAAGCTATTAGAAGACATGTGCTTGCATTATAAAAGATTTCCTAAGTAATGTGGTCACTTAAGCGCAGCGCACAACCCAGTACGCTGATGGCCTGATCCAACCACTGGGTTTGTCTGTTCTCCAGATCGAAGCCCACAGGTTGCAAATAAGTGCTTTCTTCTTCTTCCCCCCTCTCCAATTCCACAAGGTACAATCTATCTATGCTACAGTCAGAGGGAGTAAATGCAACGTAAGCGTTTACTTAACACAGAGTATACAGATAATTAGCAGCACCAAAATGACAGCGCTCCAGGTTTCGTATTGACTGCAGAAGTCCAAAAGTTCCTCTTAAAAAGGACTTTGGCACAGGCTAGTCATCTTGCCAGGCTTTATTGCTGCTCACACTAAAGGCAACAGCCATCCTGGAAATGCAGCTGTAAAATACAGCTTGTTCAAAAATCTGAGGGGTTTTTGTTTTGCCATTCAGAGTCCACAAATGAAGTAACATTTCCTGCGCAGTCCTTTCCTCTGTAATTCCAGGCTGCCGTCAGTCACCACGATTCAGGCCACAGATAACAAGGAAACACTCACAGTTGTACTCAGACCTTGAGTTGGACTTAGTAATTTCAACATGGACA